TGCAGTAACTAAGCTAAGTTATGAATAGCTTAATGAAGTTAAACACTAATCGGAGCTATTTAAAAGGGTTCCTTCCCTCAAGCCGTCATATACTAAGAGCTATAGCGAATCATTACAGAAGATGTCCGGGGAAGCATTCGTGCCGCAGCAATCACAAGGGACCAGAATACATTTCTCGCGGAAGTTGCTTAACAAAACTTCGGCTGATCATCATCCTCCTTTCAAAATCTGGTCATCGTACAGAATCGTGAGCTAACACATACTCCTTGCGTCGACAACATTCCATAGCATGCATATTCGGAGCTTTCCAGCATACCACTTACCCCATACGGGAATTTATCGCGGATCACAGGGGTCGACCGGACTTTTATTTTTTATGGTGTGGCTGTCATGGGCCTATCCCTTCCTTTGATTGTATCATGAGATGGCTACAGACTCACCGAATATGTGTGTTGGTGAGTGTCCTGGTGGATGGGACAATATTGCTCATCTCCACACTTCCAAGGTTGTATGTTGGGATAGAGCTGGGTAGCTTTCTTTTTTCTCCACCAGACGATCAATGATCTACAATCTACAGAGTGTGTTTGTTCACGGTTGTATTGCAATGGTTCAATTCCAGGCCTCATCATTGGATACCGTCTGCGAGCTGCTCGGTTGGTGCCTTGATTGCTGAGGAATGTGTATGTATCCAGTTTCCCCTCGGGTTGTTACACCGTCTCACTGTGTAGACAGGGTGATGTTAGTATTCAACGGCTTAGCAATGGTGCACTGGCCCCGCATGCTTTTTCCCTTATATCTATCATATCATAGCTGACCCCCTCCGTCATGTTTTATACAAACGGCTCATTTCCCTCAACTTTTGTGGCTATTGTATAGCCGTGGATTTACGACATCCAATCTACACGTCCTTCGAGATATCCGAGGATGAAGGCTGACGATGTCGAGAAGGCCCACAGCTCGCCTGCTCTTGGGAGTCTGAGCCAATTTCACCTCGACAAAAGCGCTTCCAACAGCTCCTCCGACGACTCAGATCTCACAAAGCCTGGTCCCGTACCACAATCAAGATGCTCACGATGGGCTGCAAGCTTGAGAAATGTGGAGAGGCGTGGCATCGAGCCTATTCCTATCGAAGATCGAGAACCAATAACGTCTTCAACCATACTTCATATGCTGCTAATGTGGTTTAGCATGACATTGGCTACGAATAACATCGTTGTTGGATCAATGGGTACACTCGTGCTTGGCCTGAGCTTCAGGGATGCGGCCCTCTGTGCTGTATTTGGGTGTTTAGCCGGCAATTGCACTGTTGGCTTTATAAGTATATGGGGACCGAAAAGCGGGAACCGAACTTTGGTATGTTGGTCTGGAGACATCGGTTTTTCTATGCACGAGGAGAACAAAGTGCTATTAACAAAATGATCGGATGCTCATGAATTTGATAGATCGTGGCCCGATATTTCATGGGGTATTATCCCAGCAAAGTTTGCATTATCCTGAACCTTTTCACCAATATCGGGTATAGCATGGTAAACTGCGTCGTCGGTGGCCAGATCTTGTCTGTGGTCTCTGGCGGCCATCTTTCTGTGATAGTGGGCATTATCATTGTCGCCGTTTCTAGTTGGGTCATGGCTCTGTTTGGGATGAAAATCTTCCAATTATATGAACGGTAAGGATTGACAGCCCAGAATACCGGAAATGCATATTCTAATCAATATAAGAGTTGCCTGGTTGCCACAGCTGCTGGTGATATGCGTGATGGTGGGTTCAGCAGGGCCTAATTTCGACTTCAACATCCAAACACCAATGTCGACAGAGCACTTAATCGCCAAAATAATAACCTTCCTCTCCTTGGCATTGTCCATTCCCCTTGCCTGGGCCCCGCTTGCCGCCGATTACTATGTGTATATCCCGCCACAAATGAAGAGCTATCGGACATTCCTAGTCACAGTCTTCGCCGCCACTTGTGCCATGTCAATCGTTCTTCTTATGGGTGTTGGTCTTGGAACCGTGATTGCCAGCTCGCCACATTTGGCGGCCAAGTTTGGCAGCAGTCCTGGGGGCGTTCTGATGACAGCATACGACGGTCTCGGAGGGTTCGGGAAATTCTGTGCTGTCATCAATGTTCTCGCCCTGGTTGCCAATAATACTCCCGGGGCGTACTCAATGGGAATGAACTTTCAGATGATTGGCGGGGTGTTTGGAAAGGTTCCCCGACCAGTCTTCACGACTCTTGCTACGGTGATCTATGCCGCATGCGCGATGGGAGGCCGGGACCGGCTGTACGAGATCTTTAAGTCTTTCTTGCCTCTGATCGGATACTGGGTTATGATGTTTGTCGTGATTGTCTTTGAAGAACACATGGTCTTCCGTCGGAGAAGAGGCTATGACTGGTCTCAGTGGAACTGTCGCGACAAACTGCCTTTGGGGATCGCCGCGGGAGTTGCTTTCCTTGTTGGCTGGGCTGGTGCAATTGTTGGCATGGTAAGCCTTCTATTCTCACAAATCCGACTAGTCGTCTCTCGCTAACACTTCACTTTAGTCCCAATCGTATTATATCGGCCCCATCGCGCAGATGGCTGGCGAAGCTGATCTGGGCCTCTGGTTGGGCGCGGGATTTACTGCGGTGTTCTTCCCACCGCTACGGGCATTGGAGCTCAGATTCATTGGTCGTTAGTGGTGTGCCACACTTTTTACGCGTTGGCATAATGATCTGCTAGTTAGGAAGTGTGGAGGCAGAACATTTTATATCCCCTCAACATAAACCAGATAGTATATAGTGATATGGGAACTGTAAAGACCCGATGTGATAGTGTCAGGCTAGACCTATAATCCAAATAATTTCAATAGAATTCGTTTAAACACTGAAGCTGTAACACACCCTAGACCAGGTTCGTTCGCCTAAGAATAAATGCTACAGTGCTTACGAGGCGTGATCGCATGCACGTGCATCTCGCACAGCTGAGAATGCCATCGGCACTTTGTCAAATGTAGATTTGGGATTACAGTGGTGCGATAATACTCCGGCTTGAGGCCCTTCTTCGCATATAATAGTATAGTCGGATAGTCCGAGGATGTGAATGTTGATTCTCATCTCCGAGGCTCGGTATTTCGAACACCCCGCGTTTGGAATCATCTAATTATATTCTCTAGATTAGATGAAAGAACAAACTTGAAACCCTACTACTCCGTACATGCTCTAAGGGTTATCTGAGACCTCATACGCAGGGTGTTATGTATACAAGTGACACAATTGGCAGTTCATAAAACCTTGTGGGGATTCATAAATGGACCTGTCCCGTGGGTCACCACCACCACCACAATCTTATTTAAACCTCGTGGAACCCCCTAGCTGAGGTCCCATCCCCGCGTCAATATGAATTACACCGACACCTAGATTTTACCCCTCCTACAGGCGGCATGGCAGCCCAACTACTCCCTTACGCCGTAGGCCTCCTCGTCGCCTGGCCGGTAGTAACAACAAGCCTACGGTTCCAGCGTCTACGCAAGCTCCATAAGCAATATGCCTACCCAACACGGGAATCGATGTCCAAAATGACCGACGAAGAAGCCTTCCAAATCCAAAAACAAGTCGCGCAGATCGAGTTCCCACTCATGTTCATCAAGAGCCTGCAATTCGCATTATTCCGGGTATGAAAAAAAAAACCCCCACAAACAAACAATTGGGCCATACCCTATCGATCTATGCTTGAAATTTCTAACCGAAAAAATAAAGACATATGGCATCCCTTCAATATCCAATCTTCTCGCAAAAACAAGTCAATTCTCCAGTCCGGAAACTTCCTTGAAGCGGTACACGGATACCAGCGTCCTCGTCCAAGAAATGGTCGGCAACAACCCGACTTCCGCACGCGCATACCTCGGTCTTGCCCGGACGCGCTACCTGCACAGCGGGTACAGGGCCTCCGGTAAGATCCTTGATGACGATATGCTCTTTACGCTGGCGCTGTTCGCGCTCCAGCCGATTCGATTCATCAATCGCTACGAGTGGCGCCAGCTGAGTGACCTAGAGCGCTGTGCTATCGGGACTTTCTGGAAGAGTGTGGGTGATGGGCTTGAGATTAGCTATGAGAAGCTGCCATCTGGTAAGACCGGGTTCAGGGATGGGATTCAGTGGCTCGAGGAGATTGATGCTTGGAGCGAGGAGTATGAGGCGAAGTTTATGGTGCCTGATGCTAAGAATCGTGAGACGGCGGATCAGACTACTGCCGTGCTGGTTTATATGCTTCCAAAGATGTTGCATTCGGTCGGGTTGCAGGTTGTTTCGTTTATGATGGATGACAGGCTCAGGAAGGCGATGTAGTAAGTTGCAGCGATGTATGGATGGACTAATCACCAACGCATTATCTAACATCTTGCTAAACAGTTACGAGCCCCCCTCCGCATTCTGCGCAGCGCTCTTATCAGCTATCCTCACAGCTCGCAAGCTATTCCTCCGCTACCTATCTCCGCCACGACCGTACTTCCTGCGCTCCACCTCGTTCACCGAGGAGCCGGATGAAAACGACCGCTTCTTTCTCACCCAGTGGGAGGCCGCGCCGTACTATGTCAAGCCCACGTTCTGGAACCGCTGGGGCCCGATGGCATGGCTGACTCGGGCTCTAGGACGGCCTGTGCCTGGTGATGAGGGGGATAAGTATTATCCCAATGGATATAGTGTTCCGGATGTCGGACCGAAGTATTTTGAGGGCAGGGGGAGGAAGCAGTTAGATGAGACTTTGTCGGAGTTGAAGGGATATCGGACAGGGAAATGCCCTTTTCATTGAGGGGTAGAAAGGCGATGGATCGCCCGTGAGGAGATGCGTGTACCGATCAATAATTGTAGCGTTATATAATACAATAGGAACTGGGGACATCTTCTTGTCTGCGTGAGATTGTTACAACCTACGCATATGAAGTTATAAAGTCTAGGGTACTGGCCCGTATAAAAACTGCTATCGCACCAACCTTGATATTCAGTACTACAATTAACACAACTTCAAGGCCATGAATAATGGATTCGTCACTTTCTTTTCCACTATGTGCTATTCTGGAGGGGCGGAACAAATCACCCAAGCCGAGCAGAAAAATAGACAAAAAAGGGTGTAAATTAGGAGCGCTCAAACAAATTGGTTCGGGGCTTGCGCCCACAAGCCGGTCCGAATGGTAGAGAATGTAGGCTTGACAAGGGTATTACTTTGAACAAATCTCAAAGAAGATTTATTTAAACCTCCTCATCAACAATGTCCTCAGCGAGGCTAAAAATAGGGAGAATATTCATTAGTCGACATATTCGAAAATCGGGTGTTGTGGGGAATCCTTACTACTCCTCCTCGCCCTCAGAGACGGAGGCCTCCTGGTACTGCTGGTACTCGGAGACAAGATCGTTCATGTTGCTCTCGGCTTCAGTGAACTCCATCTCGTCCATACCCTCACCAGTGTACCAGTGCAAGAAAGCCTTGCGACGGAACATGGCAGTGAACTGGTCACCGACACGCTTGAAGAGCTCCTGGATGGAGGTGGAGTTACCAACGAAGGTGGAAGACATCTTGAGGCCACGGGGGGGAACGGAGCACAGAGCGGTCTGGACGTTGTTGGGGATCCACTCAACGAAGTAACTCTGGTTCTTGCTCTGGATGTTGCGCATCTGGTCCTCAACCTCCTTCATGGAGATCTTACCGCGGAACAAAGCGGAGCAAGTGAGGTAGCGGCCGTTACGGAAGTCAGAAGCAGCCATCATGTTCTTGGGGTCGAACATCTGCTGGGTCAACTCAGGGACGCTGACCTGGCGGTAAGATTGGCCGCCGCGGCTGGTCAGGGGGCGAAGCCGACCATGAAGAAGTGCAGACGAGGGAATGGGACCATGTTGACGGCGAGCTTGCGGAGATCGGAGTTGAGCTGACCGGGGAAACGGAGGGAGGTGGTCACACCGGACATGACGGCGGAGACGAGGTGGTTCAGGTCACCGTAGGAGGGCTGGGAGAGCTTGAGGGTACGCATGCAGATATCGTAGAGAGCCTAGGATTGTCAGTATTCTTCATGTCAGTCTTTTCCTCGCACGTTTCATACCTCGTTATCGATACAGAAGGTCTCGTCGGAGTGCTCAACAAGCTGGTGGACGGAGAGGGTGGCGTTGTAAGGCTCAACAACGGTGTCGGAGACCTTGGGGGAGGGGACGACGGAGAAGGTGGCCATCATACGGTCGGGGAACTCCTCACGGATCTTGGAGATCAGAAGTGTACCCATACCGGCACCGGTACCACCACCCAGGGAGTGGGTGATCTGGAAACCCTGGAGGCAATCACAGCCCTCGGCTTCACGGCGGACGACATCGAGAACCTGGTCAACAAGCTCGGCACCCTCGGTGTAGTGACCCTTAGCCCAGTTGTTACCAGCACCGGACTGACCGAAGACGAAGTTGTCGGGGCGGAAAAGCTTGCCGAAGGGACCGGAGCGGACAGCGTCCATGGTACCGGGCTCCAAATCGACGAGAACGGCACGGGGAACGTACTTGTCACCGCTGGCCTAGATTATCAAAGAAAAACATCCGATCAGATGATGCACGTTTATTCCGGTTCCAGTCGTTGAACTCACATGGTTAAAGTAGACGTTCATACGCTCGAGCTGGAGGTCGGAGGTACCATTGTACCTAGCAAGATATCAGACGTGCAATCCACCAGAAACCAACATCACCATTAAAACTTACTGTCCGTCACCATCGAGACCATGCTCGCCAGAGATGGTTTGCCTGTAATCCAGTTAGGAACCCGTCAATTGATACCCAACGCGAAAAAAAAAAAGGCTCGGCACTTACCAGAAAGCGGCACCAATTTGGTTACCCTGTAATCCAATTCCAATTTAGTCCCACGAACAGAAGAATGTTTCCAAGAATGTTCCATGTCGAACTTACACACTGGCCGGTTTGGAGGTGAACCTAGATCGTTGTTAGCAAAAGATCTGTTGAGAGTGGGGGTCATGGCTCAGGGGCCGTATGAAAACAAAAGACGCGTCTGGAGGGGATAACGTACAATCTCACGCATTTTGAAGGGATTGAAAAAGAGATGGACGAAAAAAAAGGAGAACCGGTGACAAGTCAGGGAGGATGGGGAAGAAGAGAAAGCAAGAAGGCCAGTTGAGCGGTGTGTGTGGGATCAACAAGTCAACAACTGAACTTCAGGGGGAGGCCCGATTGGGTATAGCCGCATCACGGGACTCGGGGAGGTGCGAACCACATCTTGCGTTTCTTTGGGGCGCGTGATATGGTCCCATATACTACATAACTACATACTATGTAACTACATACAAACTATAACTAGTTACATATACCTAGTTACAACTACAACTAAGAATATTGTTTCAATCGTTCAATTCGAAAAATTTGGACTAATCGTACATATTGGGTATTCGTTCAATTAGGCGTCGCTTTCCATTCACATGGTAGTACTCACTTGCCCTAGAATAGCTCTCGTCAGTTGAAATTCGTTTAGTCGGATATTGCTTTCCATTCGCTGGGAAATACTCACTTGCCTTGTGGCTCTCATCGTATGAAATTCGTTCAGTTGGTGGATAGTTCCCGCCGTTTTGGGTATGTTGGTGGATGGCTCTCGCCGTTTTCGATCGCTTGACGGCGGCGGTTTCTGTTCAGTCGGTCTAGTTCGTGCCAGTTTCCTGACTCTTGTTTGTCTCCTCTCCGACGGTCTCCTCCTCGGCGGTCTTGTCATTGGCGGTTTCCTGGTCCTTGTCGGTCTTCTGGTTTTCGCCGCTTTCCAGCCAATCTCCGTACCGCTCAAGGCGCTCGTTCTCCTCAATTTCTGCATCCAGAGGGTTCACCATTTTGCCCTCTGCGTCCCGTCGGGGCTTGTACTTTTTGAACTTCTCATCTCCATCCCAGATGTAAGCAAGAACAGTATTGCCTCCGAAGTAGCGCCCGTGCATGGTCTAAAAGATGGTCAGCAGTTGACATCACGTTAGTTCAGACTGAAAGGCCTACCTGAACACAGCGGCGTGCGTCGGCGGTTAACACAAATCGAACGGTAACAACACCATCAGCTTCTCCGTCCCAGACCACGACTTTGGTCACGTCACCAATCTTGGAGCACTCGCTGCGAACGTCATCTGCAATCTCAATACTGGCGAGGGGATCTTCCTGTAATTACACGTCAGCCACATGACGATATTTGTCCAACGGAGGGTGAGTCAAACCTCCAGCTCCTTCAGTGTAAACATGTGTTTCATGATCACATGTCGTCTGGCCTCCTCGGCAGCATGGATCGCCTTTAAGGTCTCCTCGGCCTCATCATCACCCCAGTCGGAAAGTTTCCTATCACAGTCAGGTCAGCATGAAACACTTTGCCACCATAATCAACAAACACACTTATTCAATCGCTCCGTGCGCTCCTTGAACTTCTGCTTTTCTTTCGCGGTCATGGTAGCCTTTGGCTCCACATCCTTGTGACGCTTGTACGAAAAGTCGGCCTCCTGAACGCGCATCGGTCCATCTGGGTTACGGGTACCCAGTCGGAAGTCCGTCTCGTCGAGCACGTCAATCGCAAGCTTGACTGACTCCGGTTTGAAGTACACAACCAAAGCCTCGCCATTGAAGTTGCCATTTTCGTCATTGTACATTTTAATACGTGGCTTTTCAGTGTCCAGTTCCTCCATCAGGATTCCATACTTGCTAAACAGCTGATAAATCTCAGACAGCTCGGCGTCATGGGGAATATTGGTAACCCACACAGCGGTGTTCACACGGGGCTTCTTGACCTTGGGTTCATTGGCCTAAGATGCGACAGAAGACAGTCAATAACCAATGCCAGCAATCTGCCACCAAAGACCGAAATACTTACTTCATCATGCGAGTTCTTTCGCTTCTTACGGTCACGCGGATGGACAATTTCAGTGTCGCCATCGTCTGGGCCATACCCCTGCTGCTGGCGGATGAGCGCCTCGTCAATCTAAAGTCGCAAGTCAGGTTAGCATCGGAGATGGCCCATCGCAAAGCGTCAACTCAACGTGCGAATACATTTATTACATACCGTTTCAACCCATCTCTTCAGAATACTGTTCCACAAGAACTCGCGACCGTCGCTTGTCTCCAGTAGGAACGCGTCGTCCGGTCTCGAGAACGAGATGCGCGGATCGCTATCAAACTCCGCCGCGTCGGTCGGGAAGCTCATTTTGATGAATACAACCGTCGATCAAACGCCTTGAAAAATGAATCAGATGAATCAAAGCAAGGGAGATGCGTGTGTTGCTGTGACGAAGGTCGACGTGTTTTTGCGATGATTGCCCAAGGCGGCTCATCCCACGCGGTGAACTCTCGGCGCCGCAGTCCGGTAGGTTCTACAAGGAGCCGCGCCAAGCAAATACAGTGTGGACCATTCCGTCGCATTCTCCCCTTCCAAAGTTTATATTGGTACTCCTCAATATGTTGTATGCCTTCACTTTGGAGATTGCCCATGCCACATTACGGGGTACACGTTCACCATTTGCCTTACGACCTTATAGTTTGGGTTGCTCCGAGTCTATTTCCATATCTTCTCTAAACTTCCCATAAAACTGACATTATAGACGCCGAGTTCTATGTACTGCTAGATAAAACATCGCCAACAAAAAGAATTAAGAATTAAGAATTAACATGAATGAAAAAAAAAAAAAAAAAAGAAAGGCATTTGCCGGATATCAAATACATATGTATTAAAGAAAGGACAGCTGTCAGATCAGGTTGGATCTAAGCCTTGGTATCAATGACCTCTCCCACGGGTGTAGCAGTGCGCTTGGAGCCGGTCTCCGAGCTTTCCACACCGTTGATAATGTCACGAGTGACCTCAACATAATCATACTAGAGAAGAAAATGTCAGAAAATGTTGCTTTAGCAGACCCAAGAAGTAAGAAAGCTTACAGCAAATTCGCCGATTTCGGCATCGTCAATACCCATTATCTCATCTTCCTCTGGCGCGCGCAAACTAAGACCAGGAATGAGGTTCATAGCGAAAAGAATGATACAGGTTCCGAAAAAGGCATATGCCATTCCAGTGACCGAGTCAGCAAGCTGGTATCCCAGCTGGATATAGTTCTTGTTAATCCAGCCGCCATCGATTTCGGTGACGCCATCCAAGTGCGCAATGTAATCACTATATGTCTAAGTTAGTTATGATCGGACAATATTATCGGGAAGTAGGTTCACTTACGCAGCGAAAAGTCCAGTCAGGAGGTTCCCAACAATACCACCAATACCATGGACGGCAAAGATATCGAGAGCATCATCAACACCGAGGAGGAATTTGAGCTTGGTGGCATAGTTGCATGAAATAGCACCGACGACACCGAAGATGAAAGCAGCCCAGGGAGTGACAAATCCAGAGCCGGGGGTAATGGCAACAAGACCAGCAATGACACCAGAGCAGAATCCGACAGTGGACCACTTGCGCTCCAGTCGGTAGTCCATCAAACACCAGGTCACGCCTCCAACGGAGGCAGCAAGGTTAGTGACAACTGCAGCCATAACGGCACGAAGGTTGGCAGCGAGAGCAGAGCCAGCGTTGAATCCGAACCAGCCGACCCAGAGGAACACAGTGCCGATGACAACGTGGGTTACATTGTGAGGGCGGTAGTTAAGCTCATGGGTGCCGTGACCGCGACGCTTACCTAGCATCAAGGAGTAGGCGAGGGCAGCAGATCCAGAGGCAATGTGGACGGGAGTACCACCTGCGAAGTCGAGACCTCCTAGCTGGAATACCCAACCAGACGAGTTCCATGTCCAGCATGCAATAGGGTCGTAGATAATAGTTGTCCAGATGAACATAAAGACAATACAGGGGAGCATGCGACCACGCTCAGCAACGGCGCCGACGGCAAGAGCAACACTAATTGCGAGGGAAATGTTAGTTGATGTTTCTAGAGGATCTTCATCTACACGATCGATGCATGATGATAATGACTCACGTAATAGCCGCGAACATTCCCTGGAAGATAGCAAACAGAAGATCGGGAACTTTGTCACTTCCCACAGACGGCGCACCCAAAACACCCTTGAAGCCAAAGTTATCGAGGTTACCGATATACTTGCCGGCTGAGTGGGAGAAGGCCAGCGAATAACCCCAGAAGAACCACTGGAATGAAACTACGCCGACCGACATGATCGAGAGCCATATCAATGAGAGTGCTGACTTTCGACGAGCTAAACCGGAGTAGAAGAATCTATGATCAAGTAATTAGTCCGAGTCGTTGGGGGTTTAGGGTTAGTATAGACATACCCAACTCCAGGAATCATGAGCAGCACTAGGGCTGTCGACATGACGACCCATGCTATATCACCGGACTATTAACATTGTTAGCTTTCAGGCTCCTCAATTAACCCCTATTAAAGTACACAACATACACTGTAGAAAATGTTCAAGTCATCATGAAGCGAGTCACCACCAGTTGCGATGGTGCCATTGTAGGTAACCGGATATTCGGCCATAGTAAGACCTAAAGTAGGCTAATGGTACGTTATTTCAAGTGTGGTATGTAGTTGAAAGGACAGCCACAATGGAATGATACAGGAGATATCCCAAAGCTTTGTGATAGGCGATGAGGAGAAAGAAGAAGAAAATACTTTCAAGCACCGGGCTGTGAAAGGGGAGAGAAGTGATATGTCTACGGAGTTGTTTGCAAGGACGAACCCTTGTAATTTAAATAACTGCCACGGTCCCAGACATCCAAATAATGCTCCACTGTCAGACGCTAGAAAGCTAACAGACCATCGATCTTAGTTCCGATAGTGGGAGCTGGTCATTGTGATTTCTGATATGATTCATCTGATCTGACCGATAGTAGGTAGCCAAGCCCGCCCCTATTTCAGCCTTTCCGAGTGCATGGAGGATATGGCATATACTCCATAGACCCAGACCGGGGAATTACGGGTCCTTGCGTTCATACTCCGTATACTTCAGCCATATTCGAATATTCCACGGGTATCTGCTCATAGAACAACGTTTAAACTGCTTTGTAACTACATATTGTTTGCGCTACACCTGTACATTTTCCTTTGAGAAGCATCTAATAGGACCTTATGTGCATCTCAAGCCCTATGCATTGACCCCCGATAAGCAGGGGGAATGCAAAGTACAACTTATTCCGTGCATTGTATAGAAGTGATAAACAGATTGGGTCATTTCAGTGACAGAAAAGAATAATAGGAAGTAATAGGAATCGAAATTGGACGGGTGCTCAAGGACTGGCTGTAGATATGAAGTTGAAACCAGCCAATCACAGGTATTTTTTGCTTATCATTTTTTGGCGTGAGTGGTTTTCTGTCGCTTAATTGTTTAATTGTTTGATTGTTTAATACCTCCAAGTTCAATGTTTGATTGATCGAAGGAAAGCTGTGCTGACGCCTTGACTATAGTAGTTTCAATGATAGTTAATTATTTGTTGCCGTGTGCAATGTGAAGTTGTTAACTAAAACGACGGTTGATCTCTTATCATCCGACCTCAATCTCGAGTTGTGCCAACCAATCACAATGTAAATTTCCCTTATCTACATGCTAGTGATTTTTACATCGTATACATTTAACAACGTGAGGGGTTGTTTCAATGTTGTCGAACTTTTTTCTATTATCCATAACTAGTTAGCTTTGATGGTACAATGTGAGAGAGTTCAGAGACTAAGGATGGAAAGGATCACTATAGTGGTAATGGTGTGTAGGTTCTTTCCGTATCTTTGCATAGCAAGTCACCTACACATGCCTGTTCAACATTCATCCTTCTGCCCCTGACATATTATTCTCTCCGCATCATCTCTCAATCGTTTCCCCAATTCTCAGGATATGTCACATCCGGTTCCACACGACTATGCAGAATGCAGAACCTTGGAACGCATGGGCGGGAAAACTACATAAACCCTTTGCCACGCGGTACGCAAGCTAGGGGGTCTCCTAGGTGGAAAGTACGGTAAGTCAAGATAGGCACTCAGCCTTCCATTGGTGGGAATTCTAGAGGCTGATTCGGCATCCCGACTTGGACATTGGCGAACTCTCGCCCGCATAATTCAAGAAACTCTACTTAGCATCAAAGCATCTGTGAATGTATATGCAAAGCTCCTACACTATTGAATTTTTTACTTTGATACTCTTCGATACCAATATTAGAGGCTTGACCATCCTATGTATGTATGAAGTAAGTTCGGGCGTTGTAGGTCAGGCTGAGCACTATGCTTTACTCTGTAGATTGAGTGACTTGTCTCTTATACAAGCCAGGAAAGTAGATAGGTATTGTCTTCAACGCCTCTTGGATTATTAGCCCGTGTGGATTCTTATAGAGCCCTAGCAAAGTGTCAAGGACTCTTGATTATTCTTGGATTCACTAATCCACTGATCGACGGGGTTGGATCTACCCATGGTGTACCTGCATCGATCTGTATACGGAGTAATCTGTACTTAAAATGCCATGTTACTTTAGTCAGGGATAAGATTTCAAATAAATGTATGTTGTACGGAGTACTAACGCTTCGATCATTGGAAGTACTACTCCGTAGCATAACCAGTCATGTCACATGCTAATTTCCCTAGTCTCATGGGTAGCTCTCATAACACAGATAGGTTTACCTTGAAAGCAGCAACCTCTTGTCTCAATAGGCACATTCATAAATGCATCACATGCTCTCTTTTCATTCCTCTTCCAGTAGAGTCTCGGCATTCTCCTATGCCAAAAGTCATCTGCTTCTGAGTCCTCGTTCACATGTCAGGAGAGACAATGTAGTGTGAGAATGTCTCATAGAATGTACATTCTCAGATTAGAGAACACAACATAGAAGATATACTGAACAGATGTTCAAAAATATATACGAACATCATAACAAGCCCCAATGAAGTCAAAAGACCAGAATATGTTTTGTGGAAACATATTTTTACCAATTTGAAGCATAAATCCCAACGGTGCAGAAAAAAAAAAAAGTTAATAGGACTGGTAGAACTTATTTACTAGCCTACAATCTCGAATACAAGAAAAGAGCCATAAAAAAGGTAAATATCAGTGGAAGCTTTTATAAGGATGGCGCATGATGCTATACCACACGGCCATTGTGTGCAATGAGAGCAGCTGACTTTCAAGATTGAACGCGTGTATTCTATAAAGGGTTTGGACTGAATACAAATGCACGGTCAAGATTGATGCCACGTAGTGGCTGAAAGTT